TACATCGGTAGTCCACCGCGAGTCATTGTAAAGGCCAGATATGCATTCAATCACCTCCAAACGATGCTTAATGAAGTCGAATGCATGGCGTATCCCTCGGGGATTGATCAACGCCGAGAGCTTTGTCCTTTATTTTATCATTTATAACAAAATGTTATTTTCAAATCTCATTGGCAACGCACTCGTTGCAACAACTCACAGTTTGCCACTACGTGGCTCGCTACAATTTCTCCCAAGAAAATTGTGAACCCCTGCAGGAATGAAATCACTAGTGGTTTCGATCATGGCTGGTGTCGCAGCTCTTCCACTCACTTCTGTTGGGATGATGAGTGTCTCGCCGATGGTGTTCGCCCACCACACCATCAAATACGAGAAGAACGCAATCCATAGGACTGAGATGACGAATGTTACTGGATACCATTTGCGACTCGTCTGAAAGCAACAACGGAGTTCCAATGAACAAAAATTTGACTTTCTAGGACAGAAAAACAAGCAGCTACACAGTAATATCACGCCTTGTTCCGAAGAGATTTTCATGTACAACGAAGATTGCCCGGTGATGTGCTGTGTTCGTTTTCTGATAGCAAAATATGTAAAAGGTGTCTGACCCACCGGCTTTCGCACATCAGGAATAGTGACCCACATGGGGATTAAAACGGGCGCAAGGCATACATAAGTGATCTGCTTTATAAACTTATCCGGCCATTCCATGTTTAATGGTTGGTCTTCTTCTTCTTCCAACAACGATTTCTGTAAGAAACCTTTTAACAAACAGACTAAGCGAAACGTTCAATATTGCAATAGTTGAAGCCAGGTGCGATGGACCGCTAGAAACAGCAGAATTTACTCTGGTATGTTTTGCCATTCAATTCAGAAGTGGAAGACACTAGTGAAGAATATCGAGAACTCACAATTTCTTCAATTTGAGATATCCGTCGTTCGGATTGGACTGGAACGGTGAGATCAGTTTCCTGAAAAATGTGATGGATATTTTCCACTGAGCAACGAATTACAGCTAAAAAACGTGCTCATGAGATCACAGTAAGGACTTGTGATAAGTTGTGATAATAGCCTTGTCGATAAGCAAGAACACTGGTTATCCGCTTACTTACTTGGATACTTGGATGACCTGTCCTCATTGGTTGTGAGGGACCCCGGCATAATCTCCAATTCTAGAGGATTTCCTGGCTTAGTCATTGTAGTTCCTTGGAATACCGAGGTCAGCCTGGCCAAAGTCTGCCCCAGGTCGTCACTACCACAGGCACTCGCAGCCCTCGTGGATCAGATGGAGATTTTCCACCATACGACTAATTGATACCAGGACGGTGGTGGATCCCGGTATCGTTTACTCCTAGCTAGGCTTCCTGATGGAAACGCCGGACTACTTCTCAGCCTGGGAGACTCTGCCAGGGAGATCAATCCTCCGATGTACTTCACAGTCCGACACCCAGAAACACATCCCAGCCACGATGAGACGATAAACCGTTGGGATGATTGGTTATCCGCGCTATAGCTAGTAAGGGCAAAATGATCACTTTAAAGTTTACCAAACTGCATCTTCCAAATCAAGGAGTGGGTGGTGAAAATGAACCATAGATGATTTTTTAAACTCAAAATTTGCTAGTTAGTGAGCTGGCTAAACCAGTAGTGATAAGGATTCGATGACTCAAGTGGTTTGTCTCTGTTCTACGTTGCTTCTTTGGTTCAACACGTGCACGCGGTCACGTTTGTGAATACTCCGCATGTGATCATGTAGGAATGCGGAAAACAGAAAATAAAGCTGCATACACCTAGATTTCCTTAAATAAAAGGACTCCCGACCATTACAGGAGAATCCTGACATGGGTGTAACACAACAGGACTATCCGGAAGAAAAATATTGTAGTGATCAGTTGGAACAAAAAGTGCAGGTTTTAACGAGTCAAGCGGTGCCCATTTTCGAGTAGCGTTGGTTGTCGAGCATAACTCGAATCTGACTGGCAGCTAACGTACTCATATGTCTAGCTATTCGGCAATAGGCTCTAGGAAAAGAAAAGAACTCGCTTTTTACAAGCTTCTTTGTTTGTGTCAATCATCGACTACAATATCCACTTCTTCAATATTATCCAAATTTTTTGACATCTCCGTGAAAGCAATTTGGTATGATCAAAATCCCACCCACAATTTTGCTTGGAACTCTCTACGCAATAATATGAACTGCATAATGATCTGATCCATTTGGAAGTACTCGGCAGAAGAGCAGGAATCTTACCGGTAATGGCGGCGGTCGTGGACGGGTGGGCGAACTGCGAGTAGACGTGTCGTCCTCACTGCCACCTAAACTCACTTCATCACTCCAATGTTCAATTTTCCAAAGTTTCTGTTCATCTGTCCGAGAATTAGTATTAGAGTTGGGATATGTGTAAGACATTCGCACTTCTTAACTGCACTTATTTTTTCGAAACAAGTTAAACATGAAGAAAACAGCGATATGCGAGGAACAGACATGAACATTCTAAACGGTCATAAGCGCTTTGCTGCTTATGGGTCTAAGAATTCCACTTGACGTTCGTGAACATGAAATTCACGAGTGCGATTTCTCTTGCCATTTTCTGAAGCTTTCACTGCTGAGGATTCTCACGCGAACTTTTTCACCTTCAGGCACTTCATCAAGTGTTTGATGCATCAGCTGCATTATTCCGGTGCGGAACATCGTCCCCGAGTGCAGAATCGGAATCGACTGACGGCGATTCAAAGATGACCTCCTAAACTGTAACTAGTTGGACCGCATTGTGACGTGAATGGCAACAATAACGAAATACATTTCGATGGTTTAAATTCACGTACCTGTTAAGACTCAAAACGTATAGTTACAGCTGTGAGTAGAATAACAGTTTTCCGTGAAAAACTTACCGGATGGTCATCGACGTCCTTCTTTCGCCTTTCCCAGCTTCTTCTTCATCTTTCTGTTCGACGCTTGTGTTCTAAAATCGAGACATGCTAACTGCGGCACTTTATGAGCCCCCTATGTGTCAATATCTTACTGTCAGCTGGACATCCTGCTTTTTGAGGTAGAATTAGTCTTAATCAGTAGCTATCACAACAAGGCGATAAAAATATTTAATTCTAGTACGTTGTTTCCGTTTATCCTAATAGTCATCGGAGTGCTGATCGTGGTACTCTCGGGTTCCTCTTCGCCAAGTTTCGTGTTGAGCAGAGTTGTCTTCACCCATTTCTCCAAACCCACGTTGAACTTCATTATCGTGCAATAGAGCAGGTACACAGTGAAGAGTGACAGCGCCTCCAGGTATGTGATCTACAACACGAAGCATCGTCATAGCGCAGGTAGGAACTTGTAAACGAAATCAACGACATTACTGGTGTTGAGGAGTCGATATAATTCTTTTCAAGTATTAGAAGTTTTCATTCGGGACACAAAGCTTCATTATAGAATTGCTTACATTTTCTGGAGAACTCGAACAGATAATTTCGTGCGACCGACGAGAACTCTTGAACGAAAAGAAGAGGACACTGCTGTAGATGTTAAAATAAAAAAAAGCTCTCGGCGTTGAACAATCTCTCAGTGATGCTCCATGCATTCGACTTCATTAAGCACCGTTGGAGATGACTGAATGCATATCTGACCTTTACAATGACTCGCGGTGGCCTGCCAATGCATCGAGCCAGTGCTGCTACCCTCCCAGACAAGTTTGGTACCAAATTGCCGACCCGGGAGGGATGGAAAGCTTGGTGAGCCGCGGGCGCAGGAACCAATCCCATGTGTGCGTTATAGGGCACCGACCACCGCTCCACATGCGCCACTTGCTGTAGATGTTAAGCAGCAATTTTGTAGTCAACATAAGTCTGAATGTCGCTAAGTTGTTCTAGTTCATGTCTAATTGAAAGACAAGCATTCCACAATCGTTTTCTTGAGTTCAGAAACTAAAGTTTGGGTTTAGGGATCGTCTTTATTAGGTACTTAGAGAGAGAATTCATCAATTCAAAGGGTGACGAAAATGAGCTTTTGTTCAAAACCAGTAAAAACTCTTCGGGATACGAATAAGGTGAAGCAGCAAATCTCAAACAAAAGGTTCTGCCTAGACAACCGACACTGAATCAGTGTGACGCACGAAAAGGCACTGTACAACTGGCTTACCTTCTCATCCATGAAGAACTCGACCAGCATCAGCAATGCAATTATGTATATGGTCACGTCCCTAAATTACTTCACATCCACAATGCATGACTTTTTATTTATTGCCCATTACTTCTTCATGCCAGGATACTACGTGAAGTACAACCACAATGATAAGATGTTAGCAAAACTCAGACCTCAGAGCGGATTCGACCCCGTAATTACCTTTCCGGGGAATCACGTGTTATCTCCACTTTACCACTCAGGCCTTTACCTTGCCTTTATCTTAACTAGTTTTTCTCAATGGTGCAATGGATAACACGTAAGCCTCCGGAAAAGGTAATCATGAGTTCGAATCTGGCCTAGGATCTGAGTTTGGCAAATGTCTCAGTATCATCGTTGTTGTACTACACATCCAGTTCTGTCAGTTGATGGACTGAGTAGCTGCGCTCACCTGAACAGGGGCCACCACGTCAACTGGAGAACCGTTTTCGAGAATAACGTACAACAGGCCAGTACGCAGAGAATGTTGAAGGTGGCACTACCTAAACCCAATCAGTTTGCACCATGATTTTGTTGAGTAGCGTTTCAAAACCTTAGTGAATACTTGCAAAATAAATCTAACAATATAATAGTTTGATTACAAATTTCCCTTTTCTAAGGTATAGGTAAATTCATTCCAAACAAAAATTTGTAAGCTCCAGTATATATATGCATTTAGTTAATAAGACCTCCCAGTGGCTTACCGCCTCATCGTAGCTGGGAGGTGTTCTTGGGTGTTGGGCTGCGGTGTACAGCGGGGAGATTCGTCCCCCGGTAGGGCATTCCAAGCTGAGAAGGAGTTTGTCGTTTACACCAGGAAGTCCAGCCAAGAGTAAGCCAACGCCAGGATCCACCACCGTCCTGGTTCCAAACTAGTCGCATGGTGGCAAATCTCCCTCTAATCCACAAGGGCTGCGATTGCCTGTGGTAGTGACGACCTGAAGAGACCTTGGCTAAGCTGACCTCGGCACTCCAGAGAACCACAGTGGCTATACCAGTACGATTCCAAAGAAGTGGGAACTCTCCTGGAGACCGCACGACCAGTGAGAAGTGGCCAACCAAGTATTCAAGTATCCAAGTTAATAAGGCTACTCAAATTCTGGTTTCATACATACCCTTTGATACAGTCTGACTCCTCATGATTTAATCATAAAATAGCAAACGGAACTCTGTTAGGTGTAGTTTTTTCAACTATCGATTGAACTGAAGAAGTGCTGAAAACGTTTGTTTTCAGTTATATTTGCCACTTGTGAAGGTATCCAAAGCGTCCTGCTCCGAAAAGAAGTTTAAATCAATTAAATTATTTCTCGTCATTTCATTTCGCGAAAGAACTCCAGAAAAATCTCCTCGTATTAGAGCGGATTACACATTACAAGTTCTTGAGGCAACTACATACGAGTGAATTCCCTGAGGCAACATATAAGGTCTTCATGTAGAGACTACTCTTTAGAATGTAATTTTAAGCTGGAAACAATCTAGGAATGTCTTGTGGATATTATTCTTAGGCACTTTCAGTACAGCCTACGGTGGATAAAAAGGATAAAGGATGAAAATCCCGGCGTTGATCAAATCCTGAGGGATGCGCCATGTATTCGACTTCATTAACTATCGCTGGAGGTGATTGAATGCATATCTGCCCTTTACAATGACTCGCGGAGGCCTACCGATGTATCTGGCCAGTGCTACTATCCTCCCCAGCAAGTGTGGTACCAATTTGCCGACCGCGGAGGTCGGTGGATACTTGAATACTCCAACCACTGCACCACATGCGCCCACAGTCTATGGTGATAGCCACAAATCTAAGGTTCAACTGCAGACACAGAGGCTTCATCCTAAAGATCTTTTGGCTTCACTTGATACGTTTATGGCTGCGTTTAACCGAATTTGTTCTCAATTTAAACATGCCATGTAATCGCACGGTTAACCAGACCGTGGAGTCTTTCAGTGAGAAAGGTACGTGAAATGAGAGTGAGAAAATATTTATTTATCCCTTTCAAGAGGTCGGAGGTGAAAAATAGTCAACAACTCGAATCCACTAAAATTTTCTAAGGACGAAAGGATAGAGCTTTCGAAAGTGATTAATTCGTTAGGGGTTTGTCATGTATTCGACTTCATTAACTATCTTAGAGATGCTTGAACGTTCATTTATCCTATGCGATGGTTTTCAGAGGCTTAACGATATATCATGGTAGTGTTTTTATCTTCCCAGATAAGTTTAACACCAATTTCCAGACACCGAAAACAGGGAATTCTTGGTTTATTCAAGCTGCGTGGTCGAACCAAGCAATGACCAAGTGCACTTATTAAAATCACTACTAACCACTGCGCAACATGCACTCCGAAATAATCGATCCTCTATATCATCTCCGATCCACTCAACCTCAACTATCGAGTGACTTGAGGTACTAGTGCAGACACAGCCTTTGTGGATCCGAGAGAACATATCTCAGACAAGTCTGGTACCAAGTTTACGACATCGGACCATTGGGGCCCGACTGTCTAGAACCATGGATGTGTAAACGTAAAGGTAGTAACTATTAGCTTATGATTCTTTTGATTTTTTAGTTCTGTTCTATCCTTCACTAGTGAACGAGCTGTTCAGTTCTGATTCAGTTGAAGCCAGTTTCAGCTATCTATCATATTCGTGCTTTTTCGATCCACTTTTTAAATGCTGGTCCTTTAGCAAGCCAAATTTATTATTTGACGGACTGAAGAAGTCCGGTGAAATAGGCTAAGGGTTACTTATTCACTGAAAGTTTCTCCATCAATCCATATAGTTATAATTTATTAAGGACATGATTTCGCTGGCCTTAACGAGCGCTTGAAAAACATGTAATTTCGTGAAATGCTGTTCAGCGAATGAAAGACCCATTCTCCGAAATCGCATTAGTCGCCATTCCTCAACCCGAATCTATTCGAAGATACGGTGTGGCGTGTACTTCATCTCAGCGAGCAACTTCATTTTCAGCGTGCGTTGCATACATCCTTACTTACTCAGTTCAAGCCCACTCCTTTTCTTTCGGACCGCCAGAGGAATATTCCCAAATGGAACGAATCGCTTTCTACTTACAGCTTGCTAGTGGCTCAAAATTGAATCCCGAGCAAGAGCTGGTCAAAAACATTGTGCCAAGGCGAAAACAGCACTTAATGGGAACCTGCACAGTTTTTCGTGAGGATGGACGGATGGAATTATCGAACTCTCAGAGACGAAGACCTTGTCGTGGAAATGAAGACCTGCCACACATAACGGTTCAACAACGAGAAACACCTTCGAAGCACGATAGGATAGTGACATATTGGAGATGTGAAGTAATTGTGTTAACTTTTATTTACTGCTTATTATAACCTTTTAAAGGTAGCGCAGTAGTTGGAGGCGCTCTGCAACACATATGGGATCGATCCCCACGCCCTAGGCACACCAAGCCCTGCATCCCTCCGGGGTCGACAGAGTTGTACATTAGTTGTCTGGGAGGATAATAACACTAGCTCGATAGATGGGTAGGTCACAGCGAGTTATTGTAAAAGCTAAATATGCGTTCAATCACCTCCAACGATGCTTTGATTAAGTCGAATGCACGGTGTATCCCTCAAGGATTGATCAACGCCGGGAGCGTTTTAGAGCTTTTATTAATTTAAATCTTTAACACATTGCGAAAGGCCGAGGTACATTCTTTTGTGGATCACGCTATCAATTTTCCTCTGATTTTCATTATTTTCAGTCTTTGGTCAGCAAAATTTATCAATTCATTCAATGCATATCCTGAGATCACGTCTTATGCGAATATCCGCATTTCTTCCACTCAATTCGTTTCTTCTCTCGCTTCCATCATCGCGAAGCCCTTCTAATTTGCGTGAATTCTTACGGGAATTGTCTGGAAATTCTCTATCGATCGACGAAGGTTGAAAACTGCCCAAGGACTTGGGAACGCTCTAGCATGCTATACCCAAGATTCCTGGGAGAATCTACATGACCATCGTTCGACGACGTTCATAAAGAATATCAGGATTCCTCAACTATCAGCCGAACCGCATGACTATCGTGGATGGTGGATGGGAGGAGACGAGTCGAATATCATAGAAGCTCAAATCCGTGAGAGAAGAATATGAATAATGTGATGTCGAGTCATGTAAAAAAGAAAGTTCATAAATTTTTCATATACACGCGGTGAAAACTGAAGGCTTTGTTTTCGACAATGTACTATGCAGTCTACACATGAATCATTACGAAAAGCAGTGAAACACTTGTGTGAAGTAACTGCTGTGGTATTAGCCAACTCACCGACGATGGTGCCAATGCCGACGTTGTTCTGCGCGATGAAGACGCCAATGACAGATGTGAAGAACTCAGGAGCGGATCCTGAACAAAAGTGATACGAATCCGCAAAAAGCTGTCAAGTATTCACACTAGCTCCGTAGAATACTTCATACATCTGCATACGAAATATTAAAAGAATAAAAAAAGGATAAAGCTATCGGCGTTGGTTAATCCCTGAGGGATGAGCCATGCATTCGACTTCATTAAGCATCGTTTGGAGGTGGATGAATGCATATCTGGCCTTTACAATAACTCGCGGTGGCCTGCCGATGTATCGAACCAGTGCTGCTATCTTCCCAGATAAGTCTGGTACCAATTTTCAAACTCTGGAGAGATGGAAGGCTTAGTAAGCCATGGGCGCAGGGACTGACTCCACATTCAGGGCGCCTCCGATCACTGCGCCACACGCGCCCTTTATAAAAGAACATTAGGAACCCATTGAAATACTGCTTCCTTCCTACTCTTTTCCTATTTTCGTAGTCACTTACTTACCACCCTATTCATAGCAAAAGGTTAAGCAAAGGCTTCGACGTTTTACTTTGTTGCTATTCAACAAAAACCATTGTTAAGGAACAAATGCCAAAAGCAAGGATCCATAAGTTCTTAGAGACTTTTGATGATAGCGAAATGACACATTTAGAAATGGTTGTCGGTAGATTCAGAAGAACGCGGCAAAAGCGATCAGAAGGGAGAGACAGGCTCTTAACCGTCTTCTCAGGGTTGGATGAACATAGTGCGTACGCTCCATTGTCGTGTATCGGCGTTGATCATCATATTGCCACGACTGACACATCTGCTGGGCACCTTGTAATGTTGCGTACATACCGTTGAATATTTCATAGCACTAAGAATGTCCTATACATTATCGCATCACGTCTTTTCTTTTAAAAAAATCGATGGGAAATGGTGCTAATGCGCAGTTGGTGAATGAGTGCTGTAAACGAACCTCCTGCTGCCATGAACGTCGCGCCAGCAACGTCATCCGAGATCGACAGCTTCTCGGTGAGCACGGCCAGAGACGGCACGAAGAACTCGTCGCAAACGATGGCCAACGCCACGAACATATAGATCAACCCGCATACGTGCAGCAGAACTATAAAACCATCAAACTTCTTGTTCCAAATTTTAACTAAAATTGTCGGGAAAATCTGTGCATCTCGGCTTATGAGATTTCCCTCTACATGTGGTCCATTGGACGTGTTTCGTTACTCAAGTAATACCACCAACTGAACCATCAAATTGACACTGTGGAGTGTCGAAAAATTGCAGATCCACGCCATATAGGGTGATGTTCGGTGGGCTTCATGAAAAATGTGGGTATTGATAGGTGCCACTGACGACTACTTCATTTGCACGTTCGTATTGATAGTTCACAGAATATTCTCATTATTTTTGGAGGCTATTTTAAGGAACTAAATAGGGCGAGAGCTAAAATCGAACTCTGGAATAAAATTAATGTGCTTAAAAAAGTTGAAAGGTCAATAATTTAAAAAAACAAGTGGGTAAGTAATGACAGAGAAACATTCTGTTTAACTTCGACCCTGTTTTGAGGTGACTGCATGCATATCTGGCCTACACAATAACACTCGGTGTCTTAACGATGTGCTAATCAATGTTTTTTTTGTTCTCAGACATACCTGATAGCAATTTGGTAATCCAGGAAGAATGGGAAGCTTCGTTAAACAGGAGGGCGGATCGAACTAATGACTACATGGGTACTGTGGGACAGCTCTAGTAACTGCGCCACTCAGGAGGTAATAGATACCGACTAATTGTTAGTGAGTTGGGAACGCCGTATTAGAGGACTACCCCTGAATTCTAGGAAGAAGCGACTCCAGTATTGCATGGCATTCATAAAAAAAGACCATAAACAGCAAGGGGCAGTCGAACGGCACGCAAACCCGAAGACTTTCGTGGATGATGGATGTGAAGAGGCGAATCGCATGCAAAAAGTGCTGGGGTGCTCGCAATATGTGACATCAGGTGATGTGAAAAATGTAGCACTGGATCAATTCCTTGACAACAAGCCCCGTATCTTAAGCGATTGCATGAATCCCACATAGAAACGTCGCAATAAAACGAAAGAAAAAACGAAAAGGAAGAATTTGACCACATGTGAGAGTTTTCTGAATATTCGAATATTTGAATACTTAATCGAAAGCATTTTTCAAAACCGTGTGCTTTCAATCACACTTTTAGGGAACCCAACGCATAAGAATTGTCTTTCTACACTTCAACGATTTTAGCGCAAGTTTTTCTACTAAAAATCCCTGCTGTTGAGGCCTATCTGAACGTCAACATTGAGCGCAAGAGCATCCGAAGGCTAAGATCTGCACATTGGGGGATTGTGGTAAGGGGTTTGCTACTCACCTGCCCCGCGTTGACGCGTCTCCAGGGAGAAGGCGTCCAGTGGGAACTGTCCGTCGTCGGAAATCTCCTCAGAGCGGCTTTCATTACTGGAAGTAAGAATGATATTGGTGTTTTGGTAAACTTCTTTACAATTATTGGAAGCAGATACTTAAGTTGTTCATCGAAGCGAGCTGTGAAGAAACCAAATCAAATAAAATGCAAAAGATTCACTGCAACGTTCTTGCACCAACTAACTGAAGTATTGAGAGACAGTCAAAACGATGAACGCGGTGTGAAGCCCCTGGAAAGGGTTAAAGCGCGTTCGTTCCTCACCACAGACACCTGCGGTCCGGAGTTCTGCAAGTATCTCAGGGCCATTGTGGTTATAATTGAATATTTCAATCTAATGAATGTATATTTCAAAGCGAAAAAGACAGGAGGAATCAATATTTCTTTTCTCAATTCCCAACTTTTCTTCTACATTCTTATGCTATAACCAGCAGTCTCTAAATACTAAAGTGGTTTGCATATTCACCAAGTCAACGGTGGAAAATGTCAGATGTCTGTATTCATCAAAACAGTCAAAATTTAAGAACCACTTGTGTGGGCCGCAAGATTTCCGAAAGAGCTTGCTTCCCAAGGTCCAGTGTTTTCCTGACAAGCCAAACTGCGACAGTGGTAACCACAATGGTGTTGAGACATGAGCAAACTCAGAACACTAGGTGGACTTCTAGCCCGCGATTGTACTTCCCGTGGGCGACGTGTTATCCACTGCACCACCGAGGCCCTTGCTTAAACTCTCTGTCAGCCAGTTTTTTATCCTAACGATGATATCACCGGTCACCGAGTTTTGTTCACATCTCAGGATCACTATAATTGCATTTCACACAATACCCTGCCGTAAAAAATTAAAAGGCAGCAGATAAAAGTTAGATATCATGATTTTGACTGCAGCTTCGAATTAGCTGGGTTCAATAGCGATTTGTACTCTCAGAACCATTCCTATTGACGGATAATTGCTGATAGGGTAAAGAAAAACAATGAGAGAAAGACAAAACAAGGGCCTCAGTGGTGCAATGGAGAACACGTGAACCTCCGGAAAGGGTAATAGCGAGTCCTAAGCTTAACTGGGGTTCTGAGTTTTGCCCATATCTCAGCATCATTGTGATTGTATTTCACATGCCCTGCCATGAAAAAAAATGAGGGTCAGTAAATAAAAGTTGAACACTGTGATAGTGATACATCTAGACCACCTTTCTGTGATGTAAAAACTGTGCTTTCCTGCGTATTCTGAGACTATAGTGATTCACTCACCTGCCTACAGATATAAATTGCGCAGGGTTTCCGGGATTACGAAACAGTTCGCCTATGAAGAACATCAGCCAAGGGATCGGCAATCTAGGAGAGATTAGTTACTGTTATCACTCAAACGATCATGTTGACGTAAAGTTAGTGGATGAACTTATTGCTTCCTTCTTCATGTTTACATTGCTCCAGGATCAAAGTGAAGGAACAGGAAAGTACGAGTCTGACATAGACCTCACCCAACGCAGACATCGAAGATATTACTTCCGATTGAGCTGGATACTGCCATATCACCAAGTCCTTTTCGAGCCACTATCACGCTAAAAAAGCAGGTGTTTTCCTTTAGTTGTTGGGTACTTCTTAAGTGAAGTCACAACGAACAAAAGTTCAAATTTCTTAATACCTTGTAATGAGGTCAGGTATACTGGTGCCGGCCGCCAGGATTGTCAATCCAATTACCTGCGAATGAACAAAACTGAGAAATGTGTGGTATTTAGAAGTGAACGACTGTTATGTAAAATCCATAGTGATGGGAAAATTTCAGGAAGTTGAGTGATGTTTTAGACATATTTAACATCTACTGAGTGATATTTAAGTTCAATTAATTTAAAAGTCAAAAATTTATGCCACTATAACAAAATTTATGCAAGTATAATAATAGAGGACACGTGTGGTGTAGTGGTAGGAGGAGCTCTGCAACATACACGTGGATTCGATCCCCGCACCCATGGCCCACCAGGTCCTCTATCCCTCCAGGGTCGGCAAATTGGTACCAGACTTGTCTGGGAGAGTAGCAGCACTGGCTCGATACATCGGTAGTCCACCGCGAGTCATTGTAAAGGCCAGATATGCATTCAATCACCTCCAAACGATGCTTAATGAAGTCGA